AAAACCTGCAAACTGTTGTAAGCTCACGAAATGGCCCTCCAGATAGGTTGACACGTCGATGGGAAGTAGCGAGAGTGCACAAATGCCCCCCCCCGTCACCGAACTGCCCTTCCAAAAATCTATAGAACTGACCTTCTTTGTCATCGTTTGGCACTATTTTCTCACTGAATATCGTTGGAGTGTTACGCGGAGATGACAGGTCGTCGGCAAGTGTTCTAAAATTAGTCTGGCTCAAAATTTCTGGCCAAAATTCTATTTCGATCGATTCATTACCTGTTGTCCTCGACTGGAGGAGTCGGTGGAGCCAGTAATGAAGTCGTCGGGCAGGGTATTACACTGCTTCCGAATGTCGAAGCCAACAATCCAGGCTGCATGTACAGGGCAAGCAAGGTGTGAAGATAGGTCTGCCCTGAATCACTGGTCTCTTGAAATGGAATCCCTAATAAGGGCCGAAAGGCGAGGATCCTTACAAGGCGGTGTCGAGGCGATCGTTGGGAATTTTTGTTGTTGTAAAAGGGCCGAGAATGGATTCAAGTCTTGGCTAGCTGCCAACAGTTTGCTCTCTATCGTCGGCACCTGGCAGTGCCGGGCTACCGCGAGAATCTGAAACAGAAGCATTCTCATCCGATAGTGAATTTGTTTTCATTTGTGATGTTTATCGATGGAATTCGGCCCTAGCGACCAGTCAACCAACCTCGGCATGATCGGCCAGAGAGAAGTTCAACTCTCCAGTGTACAAGCCGCTCAGCATGGCTTTGAAGGCATTGATAGAGTTTGGAATCTCCCTCAGATCAATATCTATCTTTGCCATGGAGTCGTCGGGTTGGCCAGCGGCGAGGAGATTCCGAAACCGAGTTGAAGCCGATGACAACACTAGTCTGTGCGCCAATACAGGCTCGTCTGAAAAGGACCAAATTTGAATTGGAGGGGGCAAAGTTTGGATTTAGTAAAAGCGACGTGACCGAAGTGTCGTTTCCTTCCTTGCTACTGCGAACAGTTGATGCATGCATCAAATCAAAGTTGAACCCGAAATTTCCTAGAAAATTGTCCGTCTGCAGCGGCATCTGAAAAAGGCAAAAGTAGGTGAAGAGAGGAGTAAAAAGAGGAGAAGGCGAGGAAACGGAGGAAAGTTGAAGACATTTTCTTCGTGAAGGTGGGCATTTCGATGTGTTGTGGTGTTGAAATGTCTCATGCATGGTGTGTATGTGTGCTGTGCGTTTATCGGGGAGTGCAATGGTGTGTGTGTGTGGATTCGCGGAAGTTCAGAAAATGTAAAACCAGTTGAACGTTAATATTATATGAAACATAGAAATCGAAGTTTTGTTTAATTCAAACGGTTCGGCGAGAATTATCAGGGACATCAGATCATCGCTGCACACCCGCACCCCCGCACACACACACACACACGCTCACGCACACATTCATCAGACGTTACCGAAAGCGGAACACTTTGAACTTGCTGTGGTGGTTTTTCCAGAAGGTCACCCAACGCCACGTCTTCGACTCTGCTTTGCTCCCAGAAAACCTTTTGTCTCCTTACCATCTGCCGACTTGAAGGTGATGGAAGGAGGGAGGTAAGCACAGAACCCTTTCTAAGGGAGTCCAGGGTATTCAGCATTCCCACTTGATGACTTACGAGAAAAACATGGTTCTTCTGTTGGGAAAATCAGATTTCTCCCAAGAGCTTTGGGAGTTTTCCGTCTTTGATGCGGCCTCATTTATCAAGTTTTTCTTTTAGACTCTAAAAATTCCGTTGGATCGAAGCGAACTTGCTTCCATAGGCGGATTGTACGTATCTGCCTAAATCACCCGTCAGCGATGACCAACCAGCGGCCAGTACTCAGGATAAACGTTTGGCTATAACACCATCAGCAGAAGAGGCCAGCTTGGCCAAACGGCGGTGGCCGGCATTTTAGCAGTTTTGCTACTTCCCATCGAAGTATCGCCCCCACTCACTAGCAGCAGCCGTTCGTGACTTTAAGCTTTTACAGTGTACTCGCCGAGGCTTGTCACGCACAAGGGTTCACACGTTTCAACGAGTATGAAAACTTAATCGTAAAACCGACAAGTAGTGCAAGCAAGCGAAAGTACAAAATGCCCCCCCCCTTGCCAAACTGCGACAAGGAGGAGAACTGGCTGAAGAGATGTCTATAATTAGACTCCCCCTCATAACGAACATCTCTCCAGCGAATGGACACTGTGATAATCGAAGGCGAAGTAAGAGCTACGACACGCTAACTGGCATTGAGGTGAACTTCGTGCAGGACCATGCCGTTCTTCCTACAAGAGGTCGCACGCAGCGCTGTATCACGCCAGTTATACTGCTTAATAAAAGGACTAACTAAGTCCAAACATCTGCCGACCCTGTGTCGGGAATGGTGGGGGGCGCCAGAACAGAGGCCATCCACGAACTGCCAAGTAAATCTCTCGCAACAACCAAGCCTAAGTTCCGACCACTTTTACAGGACTACAATCCCCCGAAAGACAATCTCATGCGCAGAGCATGCCAAAGAGGCATGAGGAACTAGTAATTTCCAACGACTGCTCCAAACGTTATCGCATTGCAGGCAGAGCGAAATGGGCGAAGGGAGGGCGAGGGAAAGAACTGCAAGCATCTACTTACGCGCCATAGCAGCGCAACGAAAAGTCTAGCATGTCGCCGTCCCGGCAAACCAGCCCAGACAGTCACGGCAAAATTCAGCAACACCCTCTTCCCCCTCCAAGCCTCCTTTCGGAAAGCCTCAATGACGACAAACCTCGGCACTATGGAACCGCAGGCACCCTCCCGTTAAACTCATAGAACTCTGTAAATCGGAAATCAAGTCTGTGCAAGCACCGAGACTACCGGCCGTTACTGATTAGACTACTAGCCATGCCAGAACGCTCGACAACCCATTTAAAAAAATTGGCAAAAATTCTATCAACTAGCAGGTACGACCCCTCCTGCTAACAACTATTAAACGACCTCTGCTGTCGTCGAAGAACCCACAAAGATGATATTCCCTGATAGGAATGAATGTGAGGAATGTGGAATGACTGAAATGAGAGCGAGCAGCACTAGAGACGTGGAGCGTTCGGAGTGAACGTTGGGATGGACAGCGTTAACTAAATATATTGGGTAAAAGAGGGAACAGGTTACTGTGGCGAAGACGAAACAATTCGCGACCCCCATGTGGCACGCACGAAAACAATTGGGTTGAACGAGAAAAACAAGCACCTGAGGGACAGAACAGGCGGGGCACTGCGCTACTCACTGTACAGAATGCACTTCACGAATCAGGTGGGTATTCTCCCAGACAAGTAAATGACGTGGTGTCCGGCCGGTTTGGATTCTTCTTGGCGCATTGGCCACCCAGAGGACATAGAGCCTAGGGCACCACCTGGAGTTGGGGAGAATTCCTCCGGAATACGGCCCTATATGACTTGCACCAATGCTTTTCTCCTGTCCTTCACGTCCTTCTACCATCTTTCTAAGTTATATCTTAACGAAGTTTTTTCAAATCCGCAATTTTCCCCCTCCCTCCCCCCAAAATCCCCACATGTTTTTCGATATAGTGGTCAAACACCGCGGGCGGTATATAGTGGGAGAAAGGCGGCAAGTGGGAGTAAGGAGAAAAAACAACAAATAAAATCCCCCTTCCTCCAACAAGCAGATAAAGCCTCCCGCAGAGGGTTTTCAAAAAACGACGTGTACCGTAATGGGCCCCAGAGGAGTCGCTGAATCGGAGAAGCGTCCACATGCATAAAACGACCCTCCTGCTACATTCCAAAGATTGGTGGAGTAAGGCCCTCGATGGAGGTTGGAGGCGGCATCCGCGCAGCATGGGGGCCTTGCCACTTGGCGGCAAAGGATATAAGCCACATGCACAGGCCTCTGAAATGGAAACTCATTGGCTGATAATATTTCCACCAGCAGCAGCTGGGCCACCCTCCCTTGTAGTGTGGATTCCTTCAGCGAAGGTGTACGCTGCACCCACTGGGCGCAATGCTCAAGACCATTACAATGTGGGAAAGTTCTTTCAATACAATCTTTCTACCTTATTTTGTCATATGGGGATCACCCATCCCGCCCATGACCGCTCAGCCGCTGGGGGGGTGGGGGCAGAATTCACAGAATGGGACCAGCACACCCCCCCCCCCCCCCCCCCTTGTGGAGCTTCCTCCTTCTAGTTACGCTAGCAGCGTCCGTCCGTCCTAGGTCACACCTTCCGTGCACACCACCTTCCTCCCTTACACCATCACTTTCGCGTGGCCTTTTTCGCAAATTCTTTCGGCTACAGCGGTCACATCATTGGGTAGGGCGATTCTTAAGTCGAGTCCGTTACGACTGCCCCTCCGCCCCCCCCCCCCTTCCTACCAATTCCACAATTCTCAGTTTTGCCGCGAAACTTCCTGCCACTTTTCGCAATATTCCGAACAACTTCTCGCTTTTTGCTCAAAATCTTGCTTCGAGCGCAGGTGGGAAGGTAGATGGCTACACCATGAAGAGGAAAATGCACGAAAAGTCAAGGTCACTTCTCACGCACTGCCTAGAAAAGGCCCAAATACGACCTTCCCCGCAACAATGAGCAAGTACAACCCCTCCCCCCCCCTCCTTTGCCCCCCTTTCAAATGCTCCGTGGAGCGAGGAAAAGATCAACTATCAAATAAATGGTTTCTTCAGGGCCCGCGGACACCCCCCCCTGTTGGAGGATTTCGCCCAACAACGATGTGCCCTGTTCGGCTATCCCCAAAAGCTGCCGTCGAGCGGAATTTGTAGCTCATGTGAAACGGGAAAAACGGCAAAAAGTGAACAACCGCAAACATTTTTCACTAAGGCAAATACGAACCCCCGTCCAGCTACCAAATACGGCCCCATCGCTGGTGATCCCAACGTAAAACTGCTGTCCACCGATATCTATTGAATGGCGAGGACGGGTGGACGCACCTAGAGAGAGAAAAGTGTACTGAGACCGAAAGTTTCAGCAAAACTATGTAGTTCATATGAAGCTGAAGAAAAAAGATTATTCATAAGAATTTTTTAGTCAAGAAAATCTCTACCAGACTCATTACCACCACCTCTCCCTAGCGGCCGAATACAACCTCGCCTCGATGTGGATTCCACAACGATGGTCAGAAGACGAAGACATGCATATGGGGCAGGACTCTCCCAGAACAATGCAAAATGCTCTCGAAGACTATACCGTATTCGTCGACAGCCGTTTTCTCATAATCGATCTTCAGCAACCGCCTAATGGAATAGCATATACATAATTCATCGACGGCGAGAAGCTGCTGGTGGAAGACTGCTGGGCACTACTGTAGAGGAAAAGCAGCCTACACTCCCCGGTTACCCTACTTTTTAGGCTACAGCTAGCCCTTTCGCTTCAAAAGCTGCATATATATCGCAACTGTGGTACAGAACAGTTTTCGAGCAATCAAAATTACCTATGGTGTTGATACGGCCTCAAAGAAGTTCAGCTTACCCCCCCCCTCTCCCGTAAAGCAGGGTAATGGGTAACCCCTAATGGTAGAAGTTCCCAAAGGCCACTTGAGGAATGGACAAAGGGTCAGAGGTCACAGAAGGGTAGGAGGTGCGTCCAGTGGCTATGTGTTGCTGCCGAGAATGATTTGTGGAGTGCGATGTTACCTTCGCTGCGGTCATTCTACCATGGCCTTTTGTGTGTTAGAGCAGAAGAAGATGAGTCAGTCCGCATACGCTCGGCACGCTCACAATCATCCATGGCATTCTTTCAAATCGCTTAAGCTCTTGCCTTTGCATTGTGGCGTCTTGCAACTGAAAATAAAAATCAAAACAGCTATCAGATTTTTTTCCGAAGCAGTAGGGCCATTTGAAGTACTTCGCGAGCAAAACTAGAGCTGCCATGCTAGGGAAGAGGGTTCTGGAGGTAGCGAGCTCCAGTGTGGGTGAATAGGCTTCCTCTGGGCAAAAAGTGGTTCCGAATAACAGTACTCAAGGTTTCGAACAAGGGTGCATCTAAATGCCTCCTCTTGACCGACCTGCCCCATCCACTTTTTTTTACTTTGCCATTCAAGTATCATAGTAA